CGCGCTGCGGGGCGAGGAGGGGGGTCTGGTCAGGGGCATCCAGGCGGGCGAGCTCAAGTTGGACGAGCTGACCGCCAAGCTGCGCAAGCCGGGCTAGGGGTCTGGCCGGGGCGAGGGGGTTTCGCAGCTCCCGCCTCGTCCAGCAGGCCCTGCGGGGGGGTGCCCCCCGCGAAGGCTGCCCCGCCGCCGCGGCCTCCAGCGGCGCTGGGAGACGAGCCGGCCGAGGCGAAGGGTCCGAGGGCCCCTCGCGCCGCGCGGGCGGGAAAAGGGGGTCGCAGCGCGGGCGCGCGGGCCGACGCCCGCGCTGCGACCCCGCGCTGCGACCCCGAGCAAGGGGCGCTAGGCTCGCCTTGCGAGCGTCGTGGCCGAGCTGAAGAAGAAGGGCCCCCCTGCCCAGACGGTGGCCCGCACCCCCTGGGCGGCGAAGCGCTGAGCGTCGCCCCGCCCAAGGCGCCGTCGTCGGGCGCGGCCCAAACCACCCCTGCTTGCGGCGAAAGCGGCGAAGGTGTAGCGGCACCGAGCGCCGCCAGCGGATGGCGCGGGCGCAGGCGACGCGCTGCCGCCGCTGGAGCTCGGCGCTGCCCTGGCCGAGACGGTAGCGCCGCGGGCCAGCGCAGTCGGGGCCGAGGCGGCGCTGCCTGAGTCGCTGCTGCTGCGCGAGGCGTCGGAGAGCATGGCGGCGCGGCGCAGGAGGTCGCCCGCCGAGCTTGGTCGGCCCATGCGGCGGGTCGACCTGGCAGTCAAGCTCGTGAAGTTCGCGCAGCTTCATCCTGGCACCCTGGGTCGCCTCGCAGGGCAGGCGCTCCCATTCGAGAGGAGTGACGCGAAGGCCCGAGTCCGGGACCTGCTGCCTCTGCCTCTCCCGCCCCTCGAGGAGTTTGCGAGGTGGGCCCAGGCTGCCGAGGGCTCGCGGTGTCGCCTCGCGCCCGTAGCCAGGGCGGTCGCGGCTGAGTCGTGGGCCAACGTGAGTGTGCTGGGCCTCGACTCATTGGTCCGAAAGACACCCGTACCCGGGGCCAGCCAAGGTGAGATGGGCCGTCCGGGGGACTGGGCGCTTGCTATTGTGCCCGGTCAGCTTGCCCCGCGCGCGCCAGTGCAGCATCCGCGCGTCAAGACGCAACGGCGCGCTCGATGGTTGGGTGTCTGACTGCAGCGACAAGCGCTGGTTTTTGTTAGGGACGTCTCGGGGCATCGTGGTGCGTGCGCGGTTCAAAGCCGCCCAAATGTGGCGGCGCTTGTCCCAATCGATATCGAGTTGCATTTCCTCGCTATCCTGGCAACCAATGCGTCTGGGCCTGCCCCTAGGAACGACGTTGCAATGTCGCGCCCCCCAGGGGGGCCGCAGCGGCCACGTCGGGGACGGCTCTGGAGGGCATGATATGTGCCCGAGAGCGTTTTGGGCCTGCCGCCACCTCGGCTAGGCACGGGGACC